CTCTGACAACGTCCCTGTATTCCTCCCAAGTGGCCTGTCCCCTTTTCCACATTCTGTAGACTTCCTTCTTCTGCTGGAGTTTGGCCAGGAGTTCCTTGCTCATCCAGGCAGGTCTCCTGCCCGCTTTGCTGGACTTCTTCCTCAGAGGGATGCACGGCTCTTGAGCCTGGAGGAGGTGATGCTTGAATATCAACCAGCTCTCCTGGACCCCTCTTCCTTCCAGGGCCCTACCCCATGAGATTCCCCTAAGTAGGTCCCTGAAGAGGCCCAAGTTAGCTCTCCTGAAGTCCAGCGTTGCAATCCTACTCATTGCCCTGCTCCCTCCTCGTAGGATCCTGAACTCCACCATCTCCTGGTCACTGCAGCCAAGGCTGCCCCCAACCTTCACATCTCCAACTAGACCTTCTTTGTTCGTTAGTACAAGGTCTAGCATTGCACCTCTATATGGGATATCCTCAATTATCTCAGCACCATGGGGGAGGACAGGTGTGCAAAGAAAACCTTTTAGAATCGTGTGCTGATAACTAATGAATTTCTGAAACTGAACATCACTCTTGAAGCCAAATTGGAAAACTCAACCATGATAAAAGCATGGCTTCTCCAGAAGGATAGGCCAGGCGGCACCGCTGCTTCATCACTTACTTCCAGCACCCCCATGTGTAGGGGCACATGCAATGAAGGTGAAGCCTCAGTTGGACTAGCAGTAGCTACTGGGAAGACTGGAGACTGACTTTGAGGATGAAGAAGGTGGTCTTCCACAAGCACAGACAGTCCCAGAGCAGTTGCTTTTTTGACTTTTAGATAGAAGGGGCATTAAAATAGCAACAGTCCAGATGTAGTCTCATCAGAGCACTAGCTCTTCCTACCTCCAGATGAGCAGTGCCATGGAAGCCTCACTGCCCAAAGGACAGGGCCTGACCCTTCTGTTCTTTCTGTTTGTTGATAACTTTTTCCTTTCATCCCTAAAATATGCTTTTAAAACCATTGCTTTATTTTTTTTTTTAATTTTACTTCCCTTTTCTGTTTCTAGGATAACTCTTCTGTGTTCCAGAACCACTGGCTTGTCTGTGCTTGGAGCTTTGTCCAGCCTGTATCATCCTACCGTGTTTCCAGCCCGGGCCTTGTTGTTCTATTAATATTCTTGCTGCCTCTTGTCTGCTCTTATCAGCCAGTAGCCGAAAGGGCAAGCATAAAGGAGAAACACCTTTATACTGATTAATAGAATTTTCTTCTGATTTCGGAATCTCAGCTTGGAAGTGCCTAGATGTTCTACTTGCACTTCAGGATCAGTTTGACTCACCAGTTTCCTAGATGGCTGGAGCTGAATTTAGATATAAGATAGGTCTTGGTGGATGGATGGCGAAACTGGCCACAGATTCTAATCTGTATATGTGTTTAAGGTGCAGTTTAGACACTTAGAGGCATTTATGCCCATGGAACTTTCCTCTTTCCTCTGTTTTCTACTGTGCTCCTTAATGTAGGTGCTAAAAACAGTGCTTGTCATAACCTGGGCAAACACCCATTAGCTTCCTACGTGACCTTCAGCATCATCTTAATAAACTCCTGCGTTCGCTGTTAAAGATAAAGCTTCACTTCCAACTGAGATTAATGGGGAGCAAGGAAAGAAAAAGAGTGTAAAACTGAACGTTCGTAAGTATCATTTCATCACAATTTGCAGTTAATGTCAGATTCAGGTTAAAAGCTTCAAAGAACCGTTTGCTAGAGATACATAGGAGAGTTAATGGTAACTAGCTGGCATTTTTTTCTGAAAAAAGAAAATGAACTGTTGTCTTCTACAGCACACTAATCCCCAATTAAGCATTTTACTCAAATGCTTATTCCTATCTCCATTCTCTACTGCAGTTTAAAAGTACTGAAGCTACATTCTTCTGTTTCACATCCATCCAATTCAATAGAATCTTTTGTTCACCTGTTGCATTGGCATATACCCAGATTAAGATAACCACTCCTGATAATGATTGATATAAAGGTATAACTGATAAGAGACCATATTTGCACCATATGAGCTCAGCATTTTATGTGAGAGAAAAAAGAAAGCTAGAAAGGATAATAGCAGAGAGAAAGATCTTTGTGATTACAATGAACTGATCATAATTAAACTCTGAATGCATTATTTTTACAGAAAATGAGCAGTGTTTTTCCACTGCCTTTCAGTACTTAACTAGAGATCTTATGTTGATAGCTTTGTAAGTTTAAAAGCTCGTCTTTCACACTGTGTTGGCTTTCTTAAATTAGATAAGATCTGAGTTACTTGCTGCTAAACATAGATATGCATTTGTTTATAAAGGCATAAATTGTTTTTTATTAAATGTTAATCAATGTACAAGATTTATAGTGGTCATACTTGATGGAAAAGCCATCTAAAAGGTGCTTGTTAGGTTATATGGTAAAAAAACTCATTTCCACAAGGACAGAGGAGCAAAGAGGCGCAGTGGCAGGTGGGAAACCAAATTATCTGCTCAGAGAAGGGATCCCCTGTCCAGCTCCTCCCAAGGCTGACCCAGGAGAGCCTCAGCCCCATGTTCCAGCTGTGAAACCCAGCAAGCTGAGTCAATGGGGGGGCGGCTCTCCTGAGCACCTTTTGGAGGAGGGGGGGTCCCTGCCTTAGGGCATGGGCCACATCGTGGGATGCAAGGGAAGAGCATCGTGCATGACTTATAATAGGATGTTTAGCGGAGGAACCAAAGGCAGAGAAAGGGGGGGATCTAGGTGACTTGAGGAGGAACAAACATGGGAAAATAGAAGGATATGGGGATAGAAAGGGTGTAAACAGGTGGCTGGTCTGTACGCTTGTCTGGCCGTGCCTTGCACCTGATCAGCGTAATGTGTCCTGTCCTTGGTCTTGTTAAATTCCTTTCTGTTTTCCCGGGTGAGGGACCCAGGAAAATGTGTATTTCCTCCAGTTTATGTTGTAGTCACTTTTTTTCTTTAAAGTAAAGTACCTACAAACATACCAAAGTGTCAAATGAAAGTTAAACATGTTTTAAGCTGTCCCATTAGTCCCTTTCTCTAGCCCTTTTTTCCCCACTAGTTGCCAACAGAGTGTTCTTTCCATTATCTTACAGGCATTCATCCTTCTGGTCCTCATTCCCATACCTGGGAGAAGTTGCTTTATATACATATGCATATATATATAGGTTATGTAGCCAGTGAACAGACAAAGGAATCTACAGAAAATGATTTATGTTTTCAGTGAGCAGAATCATCCTCCGCATCCCTTATTCAGCTGAGCATAGGAGAATCCTAGGGTTATTAGAGTTAAGCATGTGAAGTTAAATGGGAAGAATCTGGGCTTTGTTTGATGTTTGCCAATTGACTGTGTTTAATGTTTTGTGGCCAAAGTGCAATACAGGTGGGCTTTTGCATCACTCATGAATCCTCATCCATGGCTTCTCTCTCACACATTATAATTAGCTATTTGCAAAATAGTAGTGTATGCTTCATTTTCCAAGAACTATGCCATCACTATATCTTCCAGAGTTGATGTGTGTTTTGCTGTTGTTGTCTTGGTAGATTCCAAATTTCTGTTACCCAAAGTGTATTCTGTCTAAAGTGAAACAAGTATGTTCTAACAGTCAATGCATAAATAAAACAAAACATGGTTACGTATACATACTGTAATTATTCTTCAAGAAGTGTTACACATATGGAATACATGGTCCCTCTTTCTCTTTTACCTTAGGATCTGGAAAGCTAAGATAAACATTGCACATATTTCATTCTAATAACATGTTTTTACTCACACAATGTTGTACCTTGAGGAGTAGGCAACATGACTGTTCTGTTTACTCAAAGGTAATATTAAAAGGTATATATGTAAAGCTGTACATATGTATACAAGCATTTAGCATGATCATTCTCAGCAAGGAGATGAATGAGATTTCTGGGTTTCATCAGAGGTCTTGCAAATCTGTTTGGGTCAGTTCTGTAGTTGTTTTATGTTGAAATCATAAGGAACTATTTGGTATTAATGATCACAAAGGTTTTACAAACAAAAAAGTACACATAATGTTTTTCAAAATGCTTAATATTTGATAACTAGAATGGTAACCCAAGCATGGTTCCTGAAGATTACTTTTTGTGCTGTAGTAACATTTAGTTGTGCAATATTTTCAAAAAGTATCTTTCTAAATATAGACTGTAGTTACTTAGCTAAATAAACTCTATTTTAGTAAACAGTCTCCTAAGAGAATATTAAGAAAAATTTATATTTAGTCACCTTGCTAGAACCACTGAACTGCAATTGAGACTGTTAGGTGTGATTGTGAGCCAGATTTTATAGTTCAGAAGTGAAATTTGTGGACATGTTTTGCCATCGTAAATCCTCCAGAAGATCACTGTGGTTTACAATGTGAAGCTTGGAAGAGTTTCAGTAAAATACTCCTTAAAATAGGAAGGTATATATGAGTTTGTGTTTTGTTAATGTGCTTACATGATATGAATGGTTTCTACACAGAGTACAGTTTACATGGTGGGATATACAGAATATAACACTTTGGAATGTTGTTTGCTTCAGGTGCCTTGCTGGATTTTCTGGACAGTTTTGTGAAATAGAAGTTAATGAGTGTAATTCATCACCTTGTCTACATGGTTCAACCTGTGAAGATCATATCAATGGATACACTTGTAAATGTCAGCAAGGTAACTGATGTTTGACAGAATAATCTTAAACAATGATTGTTTTGACTTACCAGTGTTACTAGTGAGAAAACTGGTACATTATAGCAGGCTCTTTATTTATGTATAAACCATAAGATACAAAAAGGCTAACTATCCTTTTGACCAGCTACGTAAGAAGATCGGACAGGAAAAAGCTGCTTTTTTGTATGTTCCCAGATGAGGTAATATACTGAATGAAACCGAAAAAGAATTAACTAGTCTAATAAGCACGTTAAAAGACTTAAAAGACCTCATTAAGAGACGCTGAAAATTATCTAGAGTATCTTTATGAATCTTTACTAACGTGGAGTATCTTTACTAATCTTTACATTACCAGCCAAGTAGGCACTGTATAAGGTCTGGATAATTTAACTGTCTACAGAAGAAGATAGACTAAATACAATTTGTTGAACATCTTAATGAAAAAAATTGTGTTCCGTAGGTGGAGTGAAAAGAAGTTTTCTGAAAAGTTATAAATAGAGTGAAATCAGGTAGTTTCTAAAAAGCTAGGAGGTATTTTCTTATGCTCACATAGATAAGTTTAATAGCTCTTGTGACTTAGAAAAGTATACTTTTTTTAGCATTAGTACAAAAACAAAGGTCACAGTCAGCCTTCCTTGTCATGTAATCGCAAATGTAATCTCTTCAGGACTGCTCACTGTCTCCTTTCATGACTATTAACAAAGTACTTTTTGTCAGCATTAGTAGGGTATGCATAAGTCCATTGTAGCATACTGCTCCATAATTCAGCTAGTCTTAATTTAAGAGTGATCCTAATATCTGCCTCTTGAACCTTATATTTTTCAGTTTAAAACTACTGCTTTGTATTGTACTGACTTACCCTATTAAATACTTTCTTGGGTATTACTGATCCAAGATTTCTTAGTGATTATTTTAGAGATTATTTAGAGATAGTCTGGAAGATTCTATTCACCCATGCTATCTTCAAATAGTTGATCTGCCTACTTTGTTGGTGTCCATTAGCAAACCATATGGTCTCGCTAAACTCTTCTGAAGTCAAGTGTTCGTACATTTATTAGACAAAACTTTTCTCTTGAATGGTAGATCACTGAATAATGTTGATCACTCTTTTTTGCACTAAATTGTCTCTGTATTTGTTCTTCATAAAAAACACAAAATAAAATGAATATTAAAAGAATCAGATTTTATTTTACATACTATCTTTTTATTCTGGTGTCCCTAATGCAGTTTACAAAACTATGAAATGTAACAGATTTTTTTCAAAAGTATGCAAGATACTGAAACAAGTGTATGCGCGTGTGTGCATGTTTGTATATAAACAGAATCAGTATGGACAGTTTATTCAGTTCTTTAATCAGTGCTGAGGAAGGATACTTTAATGCATAGGACCGAAATGGAAGCACCCATAAGACAGTCTGTCTCTGGCTTACTAGGATCTAATGATCCTAGAAATTAACTTGCTCAGAGATTAAATTTTTATAGCGAGACTGAATGTCTAAGAGATATCCAATAATCCAGAAAGCCGCTGGTCTTGATGTATTAACCACTGAGTGAAAAATCTCTGGACTTTGCCATATAGAGGGCTAAAATATATGATCATAATGGTGCCTTCTGATCTTAAAAGTCTGAGTCATGACCTGTCTTCTATGTCTTCACTCTCAGTGCAGTTACACAATGCAAGCTCTGCCTAGACAAAAGTATACATGCCCTCAGGAAACTCCACCTAGTACAAAATAGGGCCACATACCACTTCAACAATACAGATGACTTAGAACTCATAAGATGTATTTTATGATCATTACAATGCCTCATACAGAATACATTGTCGAGTTTAAGATTTTTCTCCTTATTTTCAAAGCTATTAATACTTTGAATGTATTTGAATGTAGATATTTTAAAATCACTTACCAGCCAAGGACTGTAACTGCTGTTTCTATGCAATTGTATATGGAAATGCTTAGAGTAAGTAGAACAAACTTTCTCTGGGGCCTTGGAACCCACACCCGTTGATATGATTTAAACACCTTCCAAATCAAGTGTAAGCTGCACTTTCTTTACTTTTGTCTTAATAAAAGCATTTAATAATATGGGGAAAAGATCTCTACCTGATTTCTCCACTAGGTAAACATGCCTACATACCTTGTTTAATTAATGTGGTGTTTCCAAATATTATTTGAGTTAATGGCACCTGAAACAACTGAAGATATTAGAAGATTACAGCTTGGAGAAGGAGGGAAATTTGAGAGGCAGAGCAGCCTTTGAAAGGAATAGCTTTTTGAAAAGTTGCACAATTGAAGAAGGGATAGAAGATAAAAAAAATATCTTTCAGAGACAGAAAGAAGAAATGCTTAGAATAAATCTACTTTTGTTGTAAGCTACTAGTCACATATAGTAGGACTTAGATTTGTCTACTAACCTACACCTGAACCTATGGAGATGGGCCTGAGTGTTTTTTAATTCTGTAAAGGCAGTTATGGGAATGAACTTTCTGCAAGGTAGAAACTCTGTGATATCCAGCCACAGATCCAGGGTAGTAATTTAATGAAATGGAGAAGAGATGGTGGCAAGACAGAAGCAGGAACTTAGACCAGATGATTTTAGCTTCCCAAAAACCACCAGAGAGCAAAATGAGACGTGATGAGAACCTCTGATACCAGAAAGGGGAATTCATCTAGCTCTGACGCAAATCCATTCTGTAATGGATCATGAATTTTGTTGGCTATTGTCCCAGCAGCGGATCACATACCCTTAGGATAATAGATGCATGTTCAGCATCTGTAGGCATAGGTGCAGGCTATTCAGGCGCAGAAGCAGCATGGAGGGGCATAAACTACATAAACTACATTGTAACGGCATCTGAGAGCTTGAAAGAAACAGCAGCATCCGCTGGAACTGGTGGTGGCTTCGCAGCTGAAGTCAGTAGCTGGGGGAGGCTGCACTTCTAACAGGGCAGCTACAGCCAGTCCTGGAGTGTGACTGACGGGTCCTTTTGACAGATGCTTTGAGGCAGAGACAGGACATAGGCCACTAGGTTTGGATCAGCTGAGGGTTTCTGTTTATTTTTTAAAGGGGAAAATTTAATTGGAAAATAACAAAGCTGTAATTGGTGCTGGGAGTACCATGGCAGAAGGTGTGGCTTTCTTCAATAACTATAATCCATATTTACAAAGTTGTGGTTCTGAATTTACATTTACAATCAAGTAGGCTGCTTCCAGTTTGGCTCAGCCTCTGAGGAGTGAGTTCTCAAGACAGGCTCAAATGGACAGGATCTAGAACCAGTTTCCAGATCAGTTTTGGCCTCTAACTTGTGGATTTACTTAGTTCTAACGGAGATATTGTAAGAAATGTGCATTACCAAAAATGCCAGCAATCTCAACTTTGAAGTACAAGAAGATGGTTGTATTCCAACCTGTACTTGCTGTGAAATTGTCCTCCTGAATAATCTGGTACAATAATCTGTTTCAGAGTTTCTTTTCAGTTTTTTTGCTGTAGCTTATTTTTTGTTACTCTGATTATTTTCATGTATCTAAACCTCCAGTTTTTCTTCCCCAGTGTGGCAATAAAGCATGCATTTAACAAAATAGCATAAAAAGGTCAAAATGAAGCTATACAATTACATATTCTTTCATTTTACATTTTGGGAAAAAATGGTTGCCCTGTGCAGATAGGGAAGAGGTTTCAGGGAGCATTTTACCCATTCCAATTCTTAAGCACATGAGAGAGAGAGAACAATACAGATAATTCTGTAGGGGAAGGGCAAACTGTAAAGGCAGATAATTCAGTAATTCGGGAGTACATTCAGGTTTTACTTTGTTTGTTTACTTATGTCTCTATAGGTACAAAAATGGGCAAATACTGCCCCAGCAGATGTTCAGTAGAGTAACATTGTAAAGTCCATACAGTTTGCTTTTTGTTTGTTTATTACTAAATTATTTATTCTAGATTCTAATGATTTTTTGTTCCTTTCTTCCTAACAGGATGGGAAGGCCTCCACTGTGAGCTGGACATTGATGAGTGCATATCCAGTCCCTGCATACATGGCATCTGTGTTCAGAGGGAACCCAGCTTCGGTTATACCTGTTTTTGCAAGCCAGGATTTGTGGTAAGATGCTGACTTTCTTTTTCTCCTTCACGTAACCTGAGTAATCATTGTTGCACAGAAAGTACTATATTTAATTCCTTTTAATCTTCATTCAGATAAAGTCTGGCCTTTCTAGTAAATAAAGTATTTTAGTAACTCTGTGGGGTTTTTTTGTTTGTTTGTTTGTTTGTTTTACTTACAGGAGCTCTAATATTCCAGAGAATTAGTTACTTATTATTCAAAAAAAAAAAAATCCAACAGTGTGTGCATATATAATGTCCTTTTCAGTCATCAGTCATTCAACACCATTCATGTTTTTATATATGTACTGAGCTATCTCGTGATTTCAGACTATTGCACACAGACAGTTATTTTGACAACAAAATACCTGAAATTAAATGAAACACAGTTCTTTTGAATGGTTGACCTGTGAACATTTGTTCTGTTTTATTCTCTCTATTTTACATACCTAAAGAAAGCCTTAAGGGTGGCTAAATGCCAGTGGCCAAATGCCACTGCTGTATTTAACTAAGGTTGAAATTTCCTTGCGGCACCACCTGTCATGCAGGTTCCTTCTGCTGCTGGAGACATGCAATTGGTGTTTACAATTTGAGCTTGTGCTTTACCTCATTATGCATTAGTTTAAGAGATACACTAACTTACTTAGTAACAAGGAGAATAAGCTGAGGTTAATCTAGCAAGTCCAAGTCAGCAAGGCTAGGTCAGTATCACCAAAGTACTAGGCTGGTTATAGCAGGCCTACAGTAAAGCTTAGACAAGGATTAAGGGCGAGGGCCTGTGCTTAAATGCAGCTTCTGAGCCAAGGCATGGAGGTCCCAGATGAAGCTTCTGATATGGTTTTCTCACTAATTAGCTCTTACCACAGCAGGCTAATCCAAGTTTACAGAGCTGCACTGTATCAGAGCTGACCTTGAGCAGAGGCAGCTAAACCTGTGGGTGTCAGGGAAGAGGTTGCAGAGATGGATTGAAGAGAACGATAGTTACAGGCTGATCAGGGCCCTGACAGTAATATGTTCAAGTCTAAAATACTAGAAGACTGTCCTGTTAATGGTCTTATCACGAGACCTTTCTTTTCAACTCCTTCTTCCCATACACACACTTCAATCCTCAGACTAGAACTTGCAATTTTAATCAAAGTTGGTACAAAGTGCTCCATCATTAGTAGTGAATGGGGAAGGGGCTGCCTTCTTTTGCCTGTGTGTGGTACAAACTTGAAAACAGATAACGGTATCCTTTATAAGAAATTGAAACTGCCACTTTTTCAAGAAGCCTACATTCATTTCCAGAATAAGAGGTTATGCTTTTCTTGAGTCTGCATCCATGTTTGGCCCAATCCAAAATCCGGAGAAGGGCTCAATGGAACCTTATTTAGCCTCAATGTAACCATAAGTCTTTCCTAGAGCCAGAGGGTTCATCGTATCTGAATCAAGCAGTGGGAAGGCATCACCACTTTTCGTTTTCTTGGCTAAGATGCACTCCCAGTATTAATCTAAATGAGAAGAAGTAGAATACCTCTGCATTCTAGATGGAGAGACTACCAGTTCCATGTGTCTTCACTTCTCCAGTGTTCTTCCCCTATTTGTTTACAATAGAGAATCACTGTTCTGGAATGAATGGGTCCTTTTTTTATGTAAAATACCTTTGTAAAGATCCACATGGAAAGGGTTCTGTGGTGGCAGAGATGTTTTTATAAATAAAGTAAACTTTCCTCAGGTTCCTGGGAGGAAGAATAAAGGGAGGATAAAGACCAGTCTGAACTTGGCAATGGAATCATGTTTCACCAGTGATTAGTTCTCTGAAAAACAGTGTACAATACTAATATGGTAGACTTCTACAGCTATTGTATCTTCTGAAAAAAAACAACAACAACAACAACAACAACAGAGAGTAAATGAGGAAAAGCATTGAACACACCTTGGAAGAGAATATTTGTTTCTGTGACCTATTCCAAATTCTATCCTTTCACAAAGTAGCCATTAGAAAAAATAAACAATATTTATCTTAATAAGGTACTTCCAGGAAGATGCTGGATGACCAGATCATCTCAGATAAAGAACTATTTGGCAGCAAGTTTATAAAATCTGTATTTTACCATGAATTCTTCGTAGGTTGAAATGGAATTTTATTAATGTGAATAGTCTGACTCAACTTATTGACAGACTATCCTAAGAAAGAGGAGAGTAGCCCATAACAATGCATACAAATTATGTGCAGGGTGCTTTTTATAGCATATAATGGGTGCAGTTGATGCCTCCCCACAGTCTGTAGCAATTGCTATCTCTGTGTCTTCAAAAGGAAGGCAAGCATTCAGAAAGGGGCCACGCAAGGATAAAGGATATTTCAGTTGAGGGATGTAGTCCTTTTGTATGGAGAAAAGTCAGACCCTCCTGTTAAAGAATTCTCATTTTGTTCATTAAATATTTACGCTTTTGTTACAAGCACAACTGTAATGGAGAAGTTGAATTAGGATATTTATTTGCTATTTCTCACAAAGTATGTTCTGAGCACTAGATAAAAACATCAGTGAGCAAGTTTAAAATCCATAGAAGAAATTATTTTTTCACACAGCACAAAATTCATTGGTCGAAGTCGGTGTTGCATGATCCTGTAGAAACTAAAAATAAAAATAAGTCCAAAAAGGGAACAGAAAACATTCAGGAGGATAGTCCATCAGTATTTAAATTAATTTCATGAACGTTACCCTGCCTTAGGGAAGTCTCTGAATCCCTCATTGCCAGAAGTTGGAAAGGAATATTTGGGGAATTATCAGATGCAATATCTGCTTGGGTTTTTTTCCTATATTTTATTAGCGCACTGATAATGGAGGTGGATAGATCTGTGGTCCGATGCATGGGGGCAACTTTTATATGAGTATGTAGCTTGGGAGTTAAATGTACACTGTGTCACAGAACAAATACTTAAAGAAGAAAGTTGCAAAGTGCTACAGTAGCTGGAATTTAAGATGTATTGTCTTTGCTTTTATTCCATTATCTGCTGTTCCATCTTCAGTCTCTCAGATTCTTCTCTATTTTGGGAAATCCACATTAGAGAATGAAAACTGGAATAACAGAAAAATATGTCAAACTTGTATCTTCGGTATGAAAAATAAGGATAGGCAGGGCCTAAATAGCTCCAGATGTGGATTTGGTGGGCCCCTGGTGGTTCTGGTTCCTAACCACCTGCTAAATATGTGAAGAAAACAGTGGAATTTCCACAGGAGTACGTATTTAAGGAACTCCAGCTGCAGTATATATAAGTAAATCTTCTGTAATCTCTGCATATAGTGCTATCTGAAGTATGGATCATAAAGTATGGATCATGCAATTTCTCTGTCACATTGAAAATGAAAGCATATCTCGTGGTATGTGGAATAAATGTTTACTTTTAAAATTGAAACATCTATAGAAACATACCTACTTTCAAATATAAATTTACAACCTCTTTCTGCATGTAAACTGTTAAAGCATTTATCTAAAAGCATTTATAGTCACTTTGAAGGCTATTAGATTTATCCATGACTATTTAACATACCCTTCATGCACAGTGGAGATTATCCACATCTGCTTTGTTTTTATGAGTCATAAAATCATAATCATATACACTTCTCATCACTATTACGTGTAGTTGTATTAAAACCCACTAATTTACTAGTCCCAAGAGAGGTCAGAATGAAACATTAGTTTTATGGCATTAAGAAAGATTATTAGATAGAAATCTTATTCATGTAATGAGCTGATCATTTATGCTATGTGTAGAATTAGAAGAGAACAAGAAAGAAACATGTTTTTATCATTGGAAATCTCAGATATAAATTGGACTTCTGTTCCCTCATGCTTTAGAAAACCAATGCAGTGATTTTATCAGATGCCATGAATTTATCATTTAGCTACTCTGCTTGCCAAAACAAATCAAGGATTTGAGTGAAACAAATATGGATATGTCTAAATCATCCCAGAAACTTCTTCTTCCATTTAAAACACTGAAAAATTTAAACTACTTGTAAAAAAGTTGTTATTTGGGAAAAAAGTTGTTATTTGGAAAATGATGGAAAATGATATTTGCCAAAATTTACTATAGCTCTTTAGAGGGTTTCAGATTCTAGGTTGCTATGTGGTTGGTTTGTTTGTTTTTTATAAGAACATTCTGTTGGATGATCCAGTAAGCATATGAAATATATACTGTTAGCTCCAGCACAGATTAATGTAACTTTAGACCTCTACCACAGAAGGAGGGAAATAATAGAACAATTTCATGGTAGGCTTTTAAATACATATAGTTTGTTTTATTTTTTTTTAGCAAAAGGAAATTTAAGAAGCCTTTAAAAAAAGATAAAAGTTAGATTACATTCTGTATGCTCTGTAACGCTGGGAACAGTTGGATAAGGTTATCTGCCATACAGATTACTTCCATTAATGATAGAAAACAGTTAACACAGAAGAAGTTTATCTGTAATAGATAAAATTTTCAAAATTACAATAACATGGTAGATACTTAGATTCTCTGTAGTGTTTTCTGTCATTAATTACATTTAATATCTGTCTTATATTAGGAATAAAATTGTATGTTTAACACCTTTGGAAAGTTTTTAGACCAAAGCAGTAACCTTGGGAGGGTTTTTTGTTTTTTTATTTTGTTTTGTTTTGGGAATATTGCAAGCCTTTGCAAATCTTTATTTAATGAAGGTACAGATAGATAAGACCTTCTCCTTTCCCAGTTTCCTATCATAATAGTAAATAAAACTGGCATTTTTGCCTTCCACAGTGACACTAGTAAGAATATCTTTGTCTTTGACAAGTTAACATTATTAGTTTTACTCTTGAGTGATCTGTAAGATGTATAGAATTACATCAAGTTTTAGTTTACCTGAAGTTTATAATCACCACATGAAATGTAAATGTATTACATTATGTAATATGTTATAATTATCTAAATCATATATATATTGACCTATTTTTCCTAAGCAAACTCTTGTGAAATCATTCTTGTTGAATTTCAGTTTCTGTGTCCCCCTTCTCTTTCTCTTTTGTGCTGTCTACTGCTCCCTAATATCATAAACAAATTTAACAGAGTTTTTAAGAGATTTCAGAAATACGTAAGTTGCTTCAAGTTCTGTGAAAATAGCTAGCCAGACAGAGATTTCTTACATGCACCCCAGTTCCAGCAGAAGCTTTATTTGGAACTCATCTCTCTTGCAAGTTAAACATGAGACAGGATATCAGGCTGCAGTAGTTTATAGTATTCAAAGAACATGTTTCTTTGAGGTATCAGTGAGCTTTGCACTGAAAATCTCATTTTTATTAACAGAATAATACTTGAACATCATTAAAACATTTGTGATAGCAGATAAGAATTTTCACAGTATTTCCATCAGGCATGTAAGCATTATATTAATTTTACAACACTTTCCCCAGTATTCTAGGTGCAAACAAGTTTAAAAAAAAAAGTTAAAATACTTTTGTTGAAAGATTACATGAGCTGTGTGTATCATTTGCTATGCTCACGTTATTCTAAATGGAGACCTAGTTGACACTATCAGTCAGTGGAACATAAATGGCTCTTTGACTGCCCAGAAACTTAAAAGCCTAAACATAGGTGTCTGATGCCATTTTGAAGTTTCCCTGGCTTCCTGGCAGCCACACAGGCAGCCACGGTTTTTCCACAGATTTTGTGTAGCATCTGCCATCACCACCTAGCTGTCTCAGACATAAGAAGAGCGTTCCAAAGAGCGCTAGCCATACATGTTTTGGCTACCAAATCCAGTCCGGAGTCTACTTTATGGTGATTGATTTGCTTCTTGAGCTTTTTGACTAACAATGTGATATAGTTACCTAAACACAAACACCTAACACTAGCTTGTATAACGAACACACCTAAATTTGAGTGTTTCAGTCTTAAAATGAATCCTAAACTTTATGTCTATGCTAGTAAACTAAGCAGCGCTAAAGAACTTTCTGGACACTGAAGCTCACTGAATGATGAATATAGCTAGATGAAGAGGTATAGATACAGATAGCTACAGCGTTAACTTGTTAAACCAGGTGTGGTATGGTTTTGACACGTGCCAGCTAACACTTCCACAAACAATTCCTGACGTAGTCCACAAATTAGCAGAGATCAGGGACTTTTCCAGTTTGTAAACAGGCATAGTCACCCTGGTCTGGAGAGAGTTTAGAGATAAGGACATGGGTCACTCCACATCATTTACTCCGTGTCAGAAAATGGTCCCAGGAGCATTCGTTTAACTAACACGGATACAGACAGTTTGTTGCAGATAACTAAAAAAGTTTTTAACTGGTTAATGCTGTTTTTTTCTGACTAGACAGCATAATTAAATCTTAGCTATAACTTAACTATGTACTACGTACTAAAAAGCTATCAATTCAATATACAGTTTTTGATTCAGTTATCTAAAATGTGCCATTCGATAGCTTTTTTTTTTTTTTTTTTTTAAAGCAGTGGTGTTTCTGAAACATTCTGATTTTCCTCTGGAACTACTGTTAATTCTTTAATTTACAAATTGTATTCTCATGCTCACTAAAAATGGTACAGTATTTTAAATCTCATCACTTATCTAGTTCATTTGCAGGCATATAATCAGAAATCCTGAGGTCTTTGTGATATTACCAAGCTTCAGAAGCAGTGCTAAACTGCAATGTTATTTTTCTTCAACCATGTATCGTGGATTTACGCTCTTAGATTCCTTGCTGCCACTGCTTGTTTCAGAGAAATTAAATCAAACAGCTGAGAGGACACAGAGGAAGATGAATGATAAATTAGTAGTCTGTCCCTGAGATATTTACACCGTGTTGTTTTCATCATACAGTATAGAAGACACCTCTTTCAAGGACTTAGATTCAACTATCAACCACTGTTAGCTTTCCATTTTCAGGCCCTTTTATGGGCTGATTTTTTGGAGTTTTCAGCTGTCAAAATAAATAGTTCGCTAATGCATAAGCAGCAAGGTTTTGATTTCTCCAGTGTTCATGTATCTTTTGTCTTTGTGGCTAAAAAAAATAAAAATAAGGCAAAACAGTTTTACAGTAGTTAGAGGTAAGATTCAAAATTGAGATTTACGTTCTTGTTCACCTAACTTTTAGAAGCCCTTCTACTAGCTCTAGTTACAGTTCTTGATTCTATTCCAGGTTTCTTAAAATATCTATTAAGAGAGGCCAGCAAACTGAACTGGCAAGTAAGAAGCCCCGAGGAGAAGGTGAAGCTTACTCCAACCCTTCTAAGAGAGGGAAACCTCTCCCTCTAGCTTGTCTTCATTTCAAAAATAGTATTGGACTTGGTTGCTTAAGACAATCTAGCCATTTCTCTTACAAAAGGCTATTGGTAGGATATTCTTTATACCTAATAACCAGTGATTTGGGTTCTCCTTGATAATATAATTGGCCTCAAGGTCATCTCTATCACAGTTGTCTAGAGCAGCAGATGATAAGAGGCAGCAAAAGAGCCAAACTGTGGTTAAATTATGTGGCCTAGAAATGGTGATGATAAAATCATGAACAAGCCTAATCAAAAGCTCCATAGGTTTTTAGCAAACCTAGCACATGTAGCTAGGTGTCAGGTCACGTGTTATCAGATATCCATGTCTTTTAGGGATGAAGATGTGTGTGTTGAAAATGGCTATCCATAAGATTCTTCTAGCTTAGCCAAGTTAGCTCTTTACATAGCCCATTAGTTCATTACAACTGAAGTGAAAAGAAAATGAACCCAGCTCTAGCCTCAGTGTATATTTATTTCACATTCTGAGAGTGCATTTAATTCACATAGTTATTACTGTAAAAGAAATGCATGTATTCCCTTTATTGCAGACTACTGAATACAAACATTTTTAATTTATTACTAGGAGGTATATTTCAGACGACTCATGAATTGTTACAGTATTGGTAGAGAGTCAGTGCCAGGTCCAGTTTCAGACTACCAGTACAATTTTTTTTTTCTGAAATGGCATCTTCAAACCTAATGTGTTAACAAGGTGCCTTGTGAAGATTTGGCCAAAGCAGGCTACAGTGCAAAAAAAGAAAGTAGAACGTTAATTTCAGAATCAAAACAAACTGTAGCTTGTTAGACTGCTAAATCCTCTGCACAAAACTTTCTATATTACTATATGTTACCTTCTAATCTAGCGGTTGTACTTATTTGAACCATTTTTTATTATTGGTGACAACACCACATGTAATATACTTGCTACTGCAAATCTAGGGGAAAATTATTTTTATTTGTAATTGCTTAATACTAAGTGAGAGTCAAAATAGCATTAGAATAAAATTAAAAAACATAGACCTATACCATTAAATTACTTAGGCAGTATTTTCCAGATGGTTAGATTTGCTTTTTGAAAGTTTGGACAGCTTAATATAGACAAACAACATTTTAGAATCAAAAGAAAGCAATAATTTGAACTAACGTGACTATAAAATGCAAATTGACTTCAAATATGGCTTTTTAAAAACTCTCTTTCAGGGACGAAGCTGTGAGCTTAATTACAATGATTGCCTTATACAGTCCTGCTCCATTGGGTTCCTTTGCATTGATGGAATAAACAATATCACCTGTTTACCTACTAGCCCTCAAAGCAAGCAAACTGTCACTGAAATGGCTGAAGTGTTTCCTACTGAGATTTTAGATAATGACCTTTCATCAGCCCTGTCTGTGTCAACGGAACTTTGGTCTAAACATGCTACTCCTGATTTTCATGCAAAACAGGTGTCTCAAGGTAAGAACAATAAGCTTTTGAGTAATGTATGTTTCGAACTTCTTTCCCTGGTAGTGCTTTTTCAATAGTATGAATATTCAAAGCGTATTAATTTTCTTCTATTCCTTCAAAATGTTGTTTTCCATCTCCTATACTTCCTTCTGTTCTTGTGAATTGTCTCTCCCATCCTTTCTTAGTTACATGTTTAAATGTAACTGGTAAATTACTCTTTTCTCTCAGTAATATTTTTCTCCAGCATCATAAGCATCCAGTAAAGACAACTGCACTTTCTCTTAGCTTGGCTTTCAGTTTGCTTTGCTACAGTGTGCAATTTCATATGCCTCATACTGCGTTCAGCTCTCTCTGACCCTACTGCCAATCTTCCCTTCTTCTTTGACTAGTCAGCAGCAGACAGATAATTTGCCTTATTCCGTGGGGACCTTGGTTTTTCTTTCCTAGTTCACATCTTTTCTGAGTGCTTCCTTTTCTGTGTGCATCTGAATGTTTTTCACTAAAAATATCTGCAACAATACCCCAAAGATTTTTGTCATTTTAACTGTTTAAAGTCAAGTTTTTTGGAAGCAAACAAAAAAAAAAAAAAAGCCTCTTCTGTTGTTTTTAACATCTTTAAAGAAAAGTCAACACAAATAGAAGTGCAGCACTTCATTTGGAAGGCTGTGTCTTCAATGTGGTCTGTTTGTTTTACTAATGCTAGTTTTATACACACAGTATGTGTATAAGATATCTTTTTACATTTAGTTTTGTTTTTGCCTATATGCTCTGCCTTTTAAAGTAATTATTTGTTTAAGAAATAAACCCAGGACCCCTGCCTTATTTGGGTAAGTCAGTTTTACTGAACACTTGATTTCTGTGCAGACTAGTCTTTGGGAATATACCCAAACTTTTGTTTTCTTAATAGGTAATATTGCTTCTTGATGTAGGTAATGACACTGAATGAAATGCAGTTAGTAAACGCAGTTACGTCTGTACCTCTTCCACGTATCACGTCTGCTAGTTCACTGATGTTCTCAGTGAAAAAGACTTGTAATTTGTTCATTTTATATTGATACGTAGCAGCAACTGGAAGCAGAACGTGTAATACCTCTCTGCTGTTGAGTAGTTCCATTTGTTCTGATGCTGGCCCCCATACAGACTGTGAATAATGGGAGGGTTTGCATTTACTCAGCTTTTGAGGTTGCTAAAACTCCTTCTACGCTTTATTAAGAATATGATACAGAGTTGTATTTGTGTGCTATTTAATACCTTGGTAAGACTGAATGATGTTTTAGTGGCCACGTAATTTGCTCCAAATTCAGTCCAGGGCCAAAGTTGTTTGTTTTTTTCTTTTCTCCTAATTCTTTTTTTTTTAATTTTTTTATTCTCAAAAGTCTGAAAAAGACAGGTATTTCCAGCTGTGAGATACTTCTGACCAATAATTTGACTGAACTGAGCTATGGACTAGGAGGACTAATTGCTTCTGGAGAGTCTTCAGCAGTATTCAGGATAGCTACCTCAACAGATGTTCTATCTTCACATTTCTCAGTTCTGCTGTTCAGATCTCAGTAAATATAAAGCCTAATATCACACCTGTACCATATGTGGCTACTGGTACTTCCATAGAGCTAACGTCAGTAGTTCTTTCCCAGGATAATTATGATACAGCCTCATTTATCACTGGTTCCTTAATGGCACTTTCTGTTTTCCCGACACAAGTTTCATCATTACAGCAGCACCAGACTGTTGGTTTATCTGCCACTGACATGAGTTCAGTAATTAGTAGCATAGCAAGGGCTGAAATAGAATTAAGTAGTCACTTATTACTCTTGCATGGATTACAGTTTGAACTGCTTCTGCAAGTGCAACTTCAGTTCCTTCTCAACTGTTTCTGCAAGTGCAACTTCAGTTCCTTCTAGGTTGCTTCAGAAGGGTCTTGGAAAATTGTCAGATGTCTGTTCAATATCAGAACAACACTGGAGATTACCAAGTTCGTCAACAACTCCTCATTCCCCTACCAAGACATTTACTTCAAAACAGATCTCCTTCGTTAGTTCATTAGTTGTGTGCAAAACTCAAATGCAAATATCTCTTCCTAGTGCATATCTGGCTATTACTGCTTCATCCATCAACCAGAGACTCGCAAACATGAAATCACAATCTGCTGATTCTTTAAGTGAATTAAGCCAAATATGTACAATGTGTTCTATCACTGGATTAAAAACCTCTGATGAATTCTTAGATCAAGTTGTGCATAGCAAACAATCCCCATTTTGGATGAACTCAGTGATATTAATACCAGCTGGTATACACTAATCGGAGCTACTGCTGTTACTTCTGGGTATTTATTTTCATCTAGCAAAATAATACCATCAGTGGATTTCGCAGAACTGTCATCCTTGCATCCCACTACAGGAAATACACCTGCATCTCTGATAGGATCTGTTCTATGCTCGTCTCCACAAAAATCAGATACTCATTTTCCATGTTTTGATTCAGACTGTGTGACTGTTTTTCCTCCACAGGCTGTTTCTTTAGAACCATCATTTTCAACACATACATCCTTTCAAGAAATACATACAGATCTGACAAAAAGATTAACTACTATTGAGCAGCTGACAACAGAGGAAATTCAACAATCACTGGGATCAAAAGTGTATGATCCATTTATGGAGATCCCTTGTTTAATAAGTGAGGGTACTTCCTTAGATGTTCAGCTGAGTAGCGTATTTCGATAACTACTTTCAAACCACATAGCAAATAGTATTCCTGAGTTCAAAACATGTTTACTGATAAATCCAGGTGAGACTTTACAAATATTTTCAAAAACAATCAGTCAAGTGTTCTTGATTTACATCTTCTGTCTACAAAAACTTCAGATCTAGACTTACTTGTTGGATACTGTGAAAAGTTCTCATTATTGGAATCTTCTAGTGATGAGTTGCCTCACTTGGTTTTATCTGGACAAACCCCGTCTGTGCAAACACAAATTCCTAGGCTGTTAGTAACAAAGCATTTATCTTCCCATATCAGTTATCCTGCTTTAAATTGTGCCTTACAAGATGTTAGAAATACTGTACAGGGGCCTATAAGATGGACAGACCATATTGCTGTGCATGATGAGGAACGTGAGTCTAAACACACTGTAAAGTTTTGTTAAGAGAGTATATGAACTGGATTCAGCTTCTAGACCTTATCAACTGATGTTATCTGGTTTCTCATTTCTATTCAGATAACTTTTTGAGGTGGTGGGATGTTTTTATACAAAGATAAAAGTGTCAAGGTTGCCAGGTGCTTGAAAGAGATTTATTGTAATCAAGCAGCAGCTAGTTCAATGGATACGACACCTGCTGCTGTACCTGACACAGATGGTTATTCTTCATGTTCTGCCACGTAGACTATTAGATCAATATAGAAGTAGGCTGCAGGCTGCTGTACTGCTGGCAGGCAGTGAGGAACTAACAGTTTCACTTCACTACAATAAACCTTTCAGAATTTCAGGTATAGCTTTTATTATGCTTGCATCTAAATTCAGGAGGTATCTCTGTGGCTGTTGTATGTATTTATTAACATTTTTGAAATTAAAGTCGGTATAGAGAAAAATAAAAATTATTCAAAGGGTAAAAAGATATATATAACAAAACTAACACCACTTCTGATTCCAAAATGAGAGACAAATGAGACATTTTTTGAAAATATTGCTTTTATGAGAACATTACAACTCTTTTAGAAATAAGATCTGGGAATTAAAGGATCGCATAAAAACCTATAAATTCTAGAATTTAATATTAGGGAATATGTCTATTCAAATATTGATTGTACTGAACTATGCCTTTAGACTATATTTTTCTATAAAATGAATGGCTGTCAAGCTAAGGAGAGGTTTTGACATTCACAGCTTTTCCTTTTTT